GGCCTTGGAACACTGTACCTTATGCTAAATGTTGCTTTAACCATGCAACTTGAGGCCTTGGAACACTGTACCTTATGCTAAATGTTGCTTTAACCATGCAACTTGAGGCCTTGGAACATTGTACCTTATGCTAAATATTGCTTTAACCATGCAACTTGAGGCCTTGGAACACTGTACCATATGCTAAATGTTGCTGGTAAAGTTTACAGTTTATTCTTGCAGTCATTACAAGTGAACTACAAGGATTCAGAAAGTTTTTAGTCCATGTCAAAATTTTATTTAACAAAACAAAACGTTTTTGAGATTGCAGAAATAAAATATGGGTGGTTGGAAACAAAAACAGGTAATGGATGTAAGTTACCAACGCATATCCTTACTTAAAGTTCAAGGGAATATTATTGGTGTATAATACAGGGTGTTCAAAAAGTCTGGAACCATAGCCTCTTCGACGAATCCCACAGAATATGTTCCACGTGCTGTTGTCGTATTTCGAAACAAGTTCTTGGTTTGATAATCAGTCATGTATCTAAAGTTAAGGAAAACTACAAATCACCTGTGGTTCCACACTTTTCAGACACTCTGTACAATGGGATATCTATTATTAATAGAAGCACCATAAGTGCATACAGTGTATCAACTTGGTGTTAAACATACATTTGTGATTGATGTAGGTGCAGTGGAGTAGAATATTTCATTCTGAAACTTGTTAAGAAACTTCCAGACATGGAATTTGTACTCAACACTAGAGACTGGCCACAAGCTAACAAACATTGGTCACCACTTCCCATTCTGAGCTTTAGTAAGGTAAGAAAGGAAGCTTTCATTGGTCAACCAGAAGAACAAAGAATAGGTTATTAGTTTTATTTTCACTCCTGTCAGACCAGAAGTCTATACCTTTGTTTGTGTACCGTGTACACTTCTATAAATATTCATATTTTATATGTTCTATTGCTTCACTCTAGACTCTGGTAGACTTTAGACTGTAGAAGAATTTTAACCAGTTAAAAAGTTTATTGTATAAAATTTGTAAAGTGGACACTTTTAACTAGTTAGAAAGTTTATCATATATATTTGTAAGTTGGACACTTTTAACTAGTTAGAAAGTTTATCGTATATATTTGTAAGTTGGACACTTTTAACCAGGTAGAAAGTTTATTGTATATATTTGTATATTGGACACTTTTAACCAGGTAGAAAGTTTATTGTGTATATTTGTAAGTTGGACACTTTTAACCAGGTAGAAAGTTTATTGTATATATTTGTAAGTTGGACACTTTTAATCATTTAGAAAGTTTATTGTATATATATTTGTACATTGGACACTTTTAACCACTTAGAAAGTTTATTGTATATATTTGTAAGTTGGACACTTTTAACCAGTTAGAAAGTTTATTGTATATATTTGTAAGTTGGACACTTTTAACCAGGTAGAAAGTTTATTGTATATATATTTGTACATTGGACACTTTTAACCAGTTAGAAAGTTTATTGTATATATATTTGTACATTGGACACTTTTAACCACTTAGAAAGTTTATTGTATATATATTTGTAAATTGGACACTTTTAACCAGTTAGAAAGTTTATTGTATATATTTGTATATTGGAGAATTTTAACTAATTTCAACCCAATTATCTTGTTATGATTAATACAAGTTATCTTAGTGATGCCTGGTTATAAAATGAAACCTAACATCATCAATAATTAAGTACAGTAGAAAAGAATGACAACTTATGTGAGAAAGCAACAGGTAAACATTTCTATGAAATATTTGAAGACTGACCAGTACTGGGACATCATGTATCCAGCCTGGACGTTTTGGGAGGGTGGCCCAGCTATAAGTTTGTATCCTACTGGGATTGGAAGATGGGATCTTCAGAGAACAATTATTACCAAGTAAGATATCTTTGAAACAAAAGAAGTATTGGATATCAACCCGTTTTATATGAACTTTTCTTTACGCATCTTTGGACAGTCGATCATATTATCAGAAGTTTAAGTTTCTGTGATGCAGTTACAGATTTTTCAATTAACTTATTTCACAAGTAAGTAAATCACGTACGTTTCATGAAACGTGGACTTACGATTAAGGATTAGGTTAATATCTTACCTAAGAAAATAAACATTGATGAGAGAAGATTCCACATTATACAACAACTAGTCCATCCAGAGAGCAGGCAGAGATCGTGAGAAGATACTAACGTTTTCTAATTATGTCAGATGAAATAAGTATGAATATTATAATTAAGATACTATAATATAATGATCAAGTTGTTTCGTTGTTGTTCCTGTTTTTAATAAATATCAAATATCCAAATTAAGGCTCAGAAATCTGAAACAACTTAGGATATGAAAATAATATATTTTTAAAATAACAGACTTAAATTATCATCTTTCTATTTATTTATATAATATTTTCGGAATTGTATAAAACCATCATTCAATGCTGAAGTAACAATAAAAAATTTACACTAATTAAACTGATGATAACATTTTAAGGGAAAAATATTATTAAATATTTCTCTCCTTTGATTAGTCCTATTGAAAAAAAACTTGTGTAAACTGGTTTGCTGTGCTGCCAATTTAAGGGTTAAACCGGTGAGTAAAAAACTTGTGTAAACTGGTTTGCTGAGCTGCCAATTTAAGGGTTAAACCGGTGAGTAAAAAACTTGTGTAAACTGGTTTGCTGTGCTGCCATTTATAGGGTTAAACTGGTGAATAAAAACTTCTGTAAGCTGGTTTGCTGTGCTGCCATTTATAGGGTTAAACTGGTGAATAAAAACTTCTGTAAGCTGGTTTGCTGTGCTGTCATTTATAGGGTTAAACTGGTGAATAAAAAACTTGTGTAAACTGGGTTGCTGTGCTGCCATTTATAGGGTTAAACTGGTCAATAAAAACTTGTGTAAACTGGCTTGCTGTGCTGTCATTTATAGGGTTAAACTGGTCAATAATGTTGGTTAAAATGATGCTTAGTGTTCCTACTTTAATGGACAATAGGGAAGCCGAGAAATGGCCTTGGGAAAAGAAAAAACCTATTGCTTTCTTCCGTGGGTCCCGAACAAGTGCAGAAAGAGATCCATTAATCTTGATGTCAAGAGAAAGACCGGATCTTGTAGATGCCCAGTACACTAAAAATCAAGCATGGCGATCCGAGAAGGTAGAGTTTCATAATATAAGTAAGGTTTAGAACTTGTTACTGTTAATATAAGTAAGGTTTAGAACTGGTTACTGTTAATATAAGTAAGGTTTAGAACTGGTTACTGTTAATATAAGTAAGGTTTAGAACTGGTTACTGTTAATACAAGTAGGGTTTAGAACTGGTTACTGTGTTAATATAAGTAAGGTTTAGAACTTGTTACTGTTAATATAAGTAAGGTTTAGAACTTGTTACTGTTAATATAAGTAAGGTTTAGAACTGGTTACTGTTAATATAAGTAAGGTTTAGAACTGGTTACTGTTAATATAAGTAAGGTTTAGAACTTGTTACTGTTAATATAAGTAAGGATTTTGATGTATGATGTGTTGTTTTTGATAGTAGGATTTTGATGTATGATGTGTTGTTTTTGATATTAGGATTTTGATGTATGATGTGTTGTTTTTGATATTAGGATTTTGATGTATGATGTGTTGTTTTTGATAGTAGGATTTTGATATATGATGTGTTGTTTTTGATGTATGATGTGTTGTTTTTGATAGTATGATTTTAATGTATGATGTGTTGTTTTTTGATAGTAGGATTTTGATGTATGATGTGTTGTTTTTAATAGTAGGATTTTGATGTATGATGTGTTGTTTTTGATAGTAGGATTTTGATGTATGATGTGTTGTTTTTGATGTATGATGTGTTGTTTTGATAGTAGGATTTTGATATATGATGTGTTGTTTTTGATAGTATGATTTTGATGTATGATGAGTTGTTTTTGATAGTATGATTTTGATGTATGATGTGTTGTTTTTGATAGTATGATTTTGATGTATGATGTGTTGTTTTTGATATCATTTTGTTGTATGATGTGTTTTTGATATTAGGATTTTGATATATGATGTGTTGTTTTTGATGGTATGATTTTGATGTATGATGTGTTGTTTTTGATGGTATGATTTTGATATATGATGTGTTGTTTTTGATGTATGATGTGTTGTTTTGATAGTATGATTTTGATGTATGATGTGTTGTTTTGATATTAGGATTTTGATATATGACGTGTTGTTTTTGATGGTATGATTTTGATGTATGATGTGTTGTTTTTGATAGTATGATTTTGTTGTATGATGTATTGTTTTTGATGGTATGATTTTGATGTATGATGTGTTGTTTTTGATAGTATGATTTTGTTGTATGATGTGTTGTTTT